TGAGCACTGCGTGGGCACTGAGCACTGCGTGGGCACTGAGCACCACGGGACACTGAACACTGTTGGGGCACTGAGCACTATGGGGAACTAAGCACTGTGGGGACACTGAGCACTGCAGGGCATTGAGCACTCTATAGGCACTGAGCACTGTGGGGCACTGAGCTCTGTGTGGGCACTGAGTACTGCGGGGCACTGAGCACTGTGGGGCACTGAGCACTGTGGATGCACCAAGCATAGTGGGGACACTGAGCACCACTGGGACACTGAGCACTGTGGGGCACTGACTGAGGGGCACTGAACACTGCAGGCCCATAGAGGCCTAGCTTTGGCGAAGGGCTCGGCAAGTCTAAGAAGGGCTCCTTCCCAGTTCCCACCATGCACTTCTGAAAGCCCCTGAGACATGCAGACATCTGGGGCAAAGGCCTCCTGCCCTTGACGAGTCCGTCTCCCTTTGCTCTATGCAGCCATAGGAAGACAGAGACCCAGTGCCTTCAGAAGCCACACAGGTGTCCACTCCAGGAGGGACACACTTTTACCAGGGGCAGAGAAAACAGAACTCCAGGCCACGCCTTCTGGCGAATCCACTACTACCTTGACCCGGCCAGAGGGCCTCACTGTCTAAGGGGGACAGCTGCCTCTGCTAAGGGCTCCTTAGTAAAACCATGTCCAAACCTCCGTCTGGAGGTCTCTCCCCTGGCGGAAGGAGCTGCAGGGCACCACAGCCCACTGGGAGCCAGGACTTAGGGAGCCTCCAGGAGCAGGTGCACCTGCTGGGCCTCAGGCGCTGAGGCTAGGCCAAGCAGGGGAGCCCTCTACCTCACAGAGAGATAAGCAAGTCCCCCCGAGTGGTCAGCCCTGCAGCTACTCCACACTGCCTCCAGCACCTCGGAGGAGYGAGGCCAAGGGGACAGTCTGGCCTCCAGTGGCTGACCACAGCATGGCCATGGCACAGCCGTCACCCTTGCCCCGACCCTTACTTTTCCACGGCAGATCTCTTCTGGGATTTCGACTGATAGTTCAAGGCCATCTTGGTCTCCATGCCTGTGTAGATGGCCACACCTGAAAGCAGAAGGGTAACGCGATGGCCACGCGCAGAGGCCTTGGCCTGCGCACGGGCCACACGGCATGGTGGGATGGACTCTCAGGCCAGACAGTGGCACTTCTCATTGTGCCAGACAAGGGGCTGCCCCTGAGTCACCGTGGGAGTCTTCGAAGGCTYCCCTGCACAGAGGACAACTGCAGTTTGAGAGTGCACCTTAACATCAGGTGAAGAGTGACGTCTGTCGGGGTCTCTGCAGCAGCGCACACTTGTGTATTTAAACAGTCGTCTCGTGTGMCTGAAACGGGACAGCCTGCCAGAACCGGGCGGTTGGCACTGCGGGGCTTCCCGTGGTGTGCAAGGGCTTCCCGCAGGACCCTTGGGGTCCTCCCCAGATACAACGTTGTTTCTGAGTCACAAACCACATGTGTCTCGTGAGCAGGCCTGTGTTTTGCGTGTGGCGTTGTGGGTCGCTGTCACCCATCAGCACAATGTCCTCAGTGAGGCACAGCTGCCACCGTAAAGGACACAGCACCCCAGCCCTGTGTACGGCAGCCTGGTTTTCAGAAGCGGGACCAGGAACTACTAATTAAAACATTTACCAAAGATCTTCTCGGTGTTCTTGAGCGTGGCTCCTCGGAGAAGCAGGTTTTCTGATCCCAGTGGCCTGTGAAGACAAGGACAGGCACAGAACGTGAAGCAAACGAGGCCAGAGGCAGAGGACAGTGGAGGCTCCAGTGTCATGGCAGGTCACCGAAGCCAGCCAGGTCCCCAAGGAAGTATGGCTGCCGGGCCCTCCGCTGCCCTTGGAAGTGGGACCCCAGGCCCTGACCCGGGCCCAGAGTCTGAAAGCTTCCACAGAGTCCTGCTAGGGGTGGCCCCTGGGTATCCCAACAGTGTCACCAGCAGCACCGGAGACACGTCAGAAAATCCAGATCTACTGCATCTGAGGCCCTGGGGCGGTCCAGCACCCGTCCCCACGAGCCTCATGTCTGAGGATGGCTGCTCTAGGGACCCCAGAATGTTCTGGAAAGGCCAAGGGTGTGCGAACCTGAGCTGTTTCCATCACAACCTCATGAGACTTGGGAGTCTCTTCAGTGCCACCAGGTTTGAAGGAGACAGCTGGGAGGCTGTGGCCCTTGTGATCCCTGGGAGTCAGGCTGCAGAAGGGGCCTGGAGGAAGGGACCTGAGGGGAGTTTCTGGGGGAAACACGCAGCAATGGAGGGTCAAGGGTCACTCCCTGAAGCCCGAGTGCTGCTGCAGGCACGGGCCCCCGTGGCAGCAGACGCTGTTCCTGGGGGCTTTGCCTTCCAGTGGCTCCTGGATGACGTCACTTCTCGTCTCCTGAGCAGTGGCAGCGATAGGCAGAAGGCGAGTGTGCACATTTTGCTACTGACAACACCCTACTGACCCCTTGGAGGGAGGAAGAGCTGCTGGGACCTGCTGGGGCKGTCTGCTGGTGGGCTGATGTCCCTACGCTGTGGAGGGGGAGAACCACCAATGTCACATAGGTAACTACGTTCAGTGACTTGGCCTACGCGGCTCCGCTTCACTGGCTGGATGACCGGGAGGCCTCGGGCCAAGGGGCACTGCACGGAGGAACACCCCAGGCGCGCAGCTGGCATCCTGCTGCCCCAGCCAGACAGCCACTAAAGACATGGCTCCTGGGGCTGTGCAGAGCTGTCAGCCTCTGTTAGCAGCACACTTGGATAATCGATGTCACAAGCACTTAGGAAAACAAACGGCCCGTTTAGAGTGGGTCTCTGGGAAGTCTAAAAATAATTTACTTGAGAAAGTGCTTTGCTTCTTGTTTGAAGAGAAGGAAGAAGAAGTATCCTTCTGTGTGACTGAGGATTGGACAGATGGCTTACAGCCTCCATGTTTTCAACAGCTACGAATATCTTTAAAACCCCAGGTATTAAAAGGTGCACTGAATAGTACAAATATTAAAAGGCCAAACTAGAATTGGTGTCAAAGTACAACCCGGCAGCTGTCACCCTCTGAGGCACCTGGCATCACAGCGACAGCAGGGGGACTGGGAAGCACCTCAGATCCACCCACAGGTGACAAGCCCCATCCACCTCCTCATTCGTGTACCAACCAACCCTCACCACTGAGGAGACTCTCTTTCAGAGCAACAGGGACTTACCTTGGTACAAGATGTACCCAGGAAAGCTGAAGCCACGCCCCACAGACCTGGACAGCACTCGCCAGCCCACGGATGGGTGACAATGAGACCTGCTGAGCCGTGCACCGTCGCCCCACGGCTGTCTGACCCAGGCCTTCCAGGGGGTCCCAGGGGCTGGTACCTCAGTAACTGCTTTGTCTGATCCCCCCCGAGTCTGTCCCTGACAATCTGGAGACCGCCTGAATTGGAAGACAGACCCCTTCTCGGGCCAAGGGACTTCCCAGAAAGGGGCAGCTCCCAAACCCACTCAAGTCGTGTTCCTAGAACGTGCCCCTGCAAACAACTGCCAGGCCGCAAACCAGACACAGCCCCCAGACCACAGACAGCGCTCAGCAGGGACRACCGACGGCGGCAGCCAGGGCCCGGGTGGCTCATGGTGCTGCTGCCCCATGTGGGTGTGCCGCGTGTGATCACAGCGGCCAGGACCACGGTGACAGAGCCGGTGCATGCACCCAGCCCCAAGCTGCTCCTGGTGTCTGGCCCTGAGCCCAAAGGTCACCCCGGGGTGACCTCAAGCAGGTGTACACACTGGCAAATGTCCTCCAAACCAGCAGCCTGCAACCTCAGGGCTGAGGCCTACCGGTGTGCTTGCTGTGAGGGGTGCTGGCCACCCTTCCTCTGGGCATGTCCCTCAGGCTCCCTTCCTGACCTGGCCCAGCCCAGACAGTAACCCTCCAGGTGGCCACCCTCAGGGCAGACCTGCTCAGAGTGTTCGGGGCCACCCTAGTTAACCTGCACAGACGCACACCTGGGAAGCAGCCGGGAGCAGAACCGGGCATTCCTCAGGGGACCCCACCATGAAGGCTGCGGGTGGCAGCCCTCCCCCATGAGGAAGGAGCCCTCCCCCATGAGGAAGGAGTGCTCCCAGAGCAGCAGGGGGGCCATGGCCACAGCCACTCACCTCACCACAGGGTCGTTCAGATCGCTGTACACGTTGATGCGGCCCACGAACCTGGAACAGAGAAGCCAGTCACGGTGCTGCCCTCGGCCCTCCTGGGGTGCACTGGCCGCTGGCCTGCCCTGGCCCTGGCCTCTCAGTCTATTCTCCCCACGAGGATCGGGTGGCCTTCCTTAACTCCACTTACAAGTTACCTCCTCAAAATAAACAGACTTCGCTTTTCCTCCACACTTAACCCAAGGGCCTCGTCCAGCGTTTGCGTAAAAAGTAACAGAAGTGGCCTCACGCGCCTGTGGACAGTCCAGCCCCGCCTGCCAGTCAGTGCTCCCCGAGGCCCGTCCGCCGTGCCCCTCCAGGGCCTTACTTGTACAGGTCGGGCTGCGGCTGCTCACACTCGATGGTGGCATGCAGACGATCAACATCCTCCTCCGTGTGGAAGCCCTTGGTGTCCTGGACCGCGTAGTGTGTCTGCAAAGTGACAGAGGCACTAGCTCACCACCCAGCCCGGCACCACGCTGGCCGCCCACCCGGGGGCAGCCCCCGCTGGTGTGTTCGGTGCACACACACAAGCCCGACGCAGGGCCAGCGTGACACCGGGAGACGTGGGAGGGGAAGCCTGTGTCTGCTCACAGCCTGAAAAGACCCGGCAGCACCATCTGTCCCCAGCTCGAGGCCAGGAAACGCCAACTCTCCAACTCTCACCTAAACACTAGCACGGCAAAGAAGTCGGCTGGGATTCTCCAAAATTGGACTGTTGGACTTATCTGTCCCAGTAGTAGCCACTAACCAGGCCAGTGGCCTATACTTCCCAGGGCCGGCCTCTGGCTGCACTTGGTTTACCTCCCCACTCTGCCACCGCTGCCCTCGCCTGTCATCACTGGGCCAGCACAGCTTCTGAGTGACCGTGGGGCTGCCTGGACCAGAGGGCCACTCAAGCCCACGCACACATCGGAGCCACAGGTAGCTGCCAGGCCGCTGCTACAGGCCGGCCCCTGGCTTCCCAYGCAGCAGTCCCAGGGCTGTGTTCCTAAGGGGAGCCTGGTGATGCCCATGCTGCCGTCGGAGCCAAGAGCTGGCACCCGCTAGCCTAGCATCTGTGGCAGGGACAGGAGGGCCAGGGGCTGCAGCTCTCCCCTGGAATGAAGGAAGGATTATGTCCAGGAGTCCGGAGGGGAGGCAGTGCCCCGTGTCTCCTCTTCCTCGCCTTTCTAAGGATTAGGCACTGGGCAGACACACAGTGAGCTGTCCCCACCTCYGGGGGCGCTTGCTTCCCTAGTCATGTCCCCACAGACCCTGAGAGGAGGTCTGTCCCCGGCTTACACATGGGAAAAGCCCCTGCAAGGCCCACGTAGTATAGCTCACCGGACATCAACTGGGCCTCCCACCCCACGCTCTGCCCTCAAAGGCAGGGTTCCCATAACTCCCGTCCCCGGAGCCAAACCAAATGCAGGGGCGTGACTTCAGGGAATAATTAACATGCAGAGTGCAAAGGCAGAGTCCGCCAGCAGCAGCAACTCTGACCTTCAGTCCTGGGGAGGGACAGGCCACTGTGCTTTCCCCCAGTAGAGCCAGATGCCTGGGCCCAGGGGCAGGTCCAAATAGCAGGCCTCTGCCAGGGGATGGGAGGGCTCACGGGTCCCAGGGTAGATGACCTGGTCCTCCCAGGCTCACCCCGAGCCCAGCACCGTCCAGAGAAGCCACTGCCCCATGGACTGTCACTATGGAGAAGGCTAATCCTTCTAGGATGCACTACAGAGAAAACATGAACACAAAACTGAAAAGAATGTACGGGCTTCACACTAAGACATGGCAGATGACCACGGAAGGCTGGCGTGTGCATCCGTGATCCTGTAAAGACAAGGCTTCCATGCAAAGTTTCTAACTGCTCTCACCCAGGAGTGGTCCAGCACCAGGCTGGAGCCAGCACTCACAAGCCAGGGGGCAAGCTCCTGTTCACGGCTCTTTGGAAACTTCTGGGATTTTAAAGTAAGAAAGCCCTTAAAGGAAGGATGCCCTATTCTCTCTGACGGTGAAGTTCCTGTAGCACAGCCCCAGCACAGCAGCCACGCTGAGCCCACAGGCTAGTTAGGGATTCAGAGGATTCCTCCCGTGTTAGCGAGGCTCACTCACGAAGCAGTCGGGCAGGACCTCAAGCTGTGGAGCCTCCACTCAGCTCTTGGTGAGGAAGGACAACAACTCTGACCAGTAGATTGGTCTGGACAGACCTCCTGGAGCCCTGAACTCAGCCCACCAGCTGGACCGCCCAGGCCAGCATGCGAGTTACTTGTCACCTGAGATAGCTCGGGGCACAGACATGGGGGGCCGGCCCCCATGCCCCCAGAAGGAAGGGGCCCTGGTGGCCCCATGCCCCAAGGACACCAACTGCCATGGCAGTCAGCATCCGTAGCCATGGCTGAGTCTGGACACCAGGCCCCGAGTGCATCTTGACATGGGGACGTTACTTTATGGCTTGACTCCCCATCCAAGCTGGCAGTGGTGACGTGGCAGGTCCCATCTCCACGGTTGCTGGAGAGGAAGATCAAGTCACAGGGAAAGGTCTCATCCTCCTTGACCATAACGATGTCCCCAACCTGCAGGGCAGAGAGAGGGGTGGATGGCCAGCGCTCAGCCTCTGCAATGGCCTGGATCCTTCTCCTGCAGCCAGGTATCACAGACACGGTCACAGATCAGAGTGGTCCTTCAGAGTCAGGAGCACCTGCAGAGGAGCGTGCACGCCCCCAGGCAGGCGGTGTGTTCTCACGGGCTTCCTAAGTGCCTGACAGCAAGTCTTCCGGAGCCTGCATCCCCCCCAAGGTGGGGAGAGGGGCTGTGGTCATGTCCTGAGGTACACACCGACCCAGGGCCTGTCACACTCCCTGTGCCTTGTGCTGCCCCAGGGCAGGACAGATGGCAGAGCCTCAGGAGAGGATAGGAAGGGGCAGCAGGCCAGGGCAGGGCCAGGGGTTCATGGAGGGTGGGGACGCTAGGGCTGGAGTCTAAGCTCACGGTCAGGATAGGCCAATGCTGGGGGTCAGCCACAAGGCTAGGAACAGGTGCTTCAGAACATAAGGCTCTAAAGGGATCTGCTTAAATAATTCAAMACACCTCTAAACACGGCAGGATGTCTGTCTCTGCCAGTCCACTGAGAAGTTATTCAAAACGCTCTTGTAGACTGCTATCCTACTGATTTACACCAGGCACATGTGATTTAGACCAGGCCCACGTGATGCGAACCAGGCACACACACGTGGTCTAGACCAGGCCCACGTGGTCTAGGCCATGCACATATTTCAGCAGTCACTCTCAAAACAAGGCATACGTGATCAGAAACGTGCATATGATTTAGACCAGGTACACATGATCTGGACCAGGCGTATATGATTTGAACCAGGCATGCATGGTCTAGACCAGGGGCATGTGTCGGCTGTCACTTACTCTCAGCTTCCGGCTCTGCTTGCGGACGAGCTTGCSGTGCTGGATGAAGTGCACGGGACACTGGTTCATAGCATTGTCGGCCTTGTGACGGAGCCAGTCCTCGTAGCCCTGGAAGCCAGGCAGAGGAGAGCAGGTGTCAGTCATGCCTCCCCTCAGCCCGGGGGTGGGGTCTCCAAGGGCCAGCGACTGTAATGAATGTCTTACAGCTACCCACTGCCCATACCCATGACACACCCTGGGGACCAGCTCCTAACAGATGAGCAAGTGATCAGCCTGTGTGTGACACACCAAACCCTACAAAGGCTCGCCGGGGCGGCAGGTGCTGGCCACCAGGACCCTGCTGCCTGCTCTCCCGGAGGGTCTGCTCTCTAAATGAACTTCCAGACTGCCGTGGGGGAGAAATATAACTCAAAGTAACACCAGGGAACTCCCAAGGGCTCCTCACAGTTTATATTAGAAAGCAGATCCAGACAAGGTCACATCGAGGCCTGAACACCAAGGTCCTGAGTGCAGCCCCACCCACACTGCTCCGATCTAGAGTGAACCCGTACATGGCGCCTCAGGGCCCTTTGCTCTAATGGCTGGGCTCACTGCATGTCCCTGGTAACAAGCTCTAGGCTTTTGAAAAAAGACACTGAAAAAGCACAGCTTTGTCAGCACAGATTTGAGCATCAAGAATTTGATTAGAAATTGCCATTTGTAAATTATCCAGATGTCTCATATGAAAAACTGACCCCAAAACACTGAAATCAAATCCACAGGGTTCATCCGYTTGCAGCAGTTAAAGAACTTGTGTCTGCAGTGAATGGAAAATTCTTACAGCTCACCCATACAAAAGGCAGCCCACGTAAAAGTCAGCAAGGGGTGTACAGGTATTTCTCTAAAAATGATGCAGAAACGGCCAATGAGCATGTGAGAAGCATCACTGGCTGCTAGGGAAACACYAGTCAAGATGCCACGTCACAAATGTGAGGACGGCTGAGGTCAGGAGCTGGCACCCAGCACTGGCAGATCACGGAGCCAGCAAAACCTGCCTGCCGGCGTGTGACGCATGGTGTGGGAGCACTCAGGGACTCCTCGCCACCACTCAGACCGCAGAGCAATTCCGAGGCGTATGCCCCAAGGAGCGAAGCCTTGTGCACCCAACAATGTGTAAGATATACAATTATTAAGTGTCAGTTAAAACAAACAAATGGGAAAAGAGACCTATATCCACCCAAGATGCACACACGTGTTCTAAGCAGCATTCGCCACAGCCCAAGGCGGAAGCCCCACCCGCCTGGCCTCAGATGGTGGGTGAACTAGCTGGTGCACTGTTCATATTAAAAAGCATGGTTTTTTTGAACTAGCATCGCCTGTGATGAAGCACATCAGAACCACCTCCACCTCCACCCAGCATGGACAGGGACCCCACGCTGTGCGATTCTGCAGGGCGTAGTGAGTTGGTCTTTGCCAGGGGATGGGAGAAGAGGAACCACAGGATGACAGCTGATGGGAACAGGCTTCTTTTTGAGGTGACAAAAGTTTTCTTGGAGTAAAGAGTGCTGAGGATGTGCCACTAAGCTGGGGAAAAAGCTCAGTAAACCTGCATCCCCAGTGTCAGTCCTGGGCTTCACCCATCAGGACAGACGGACGGACACGCCGCACCTCAGGGCTCAGCACTCCGTGATCCACACCCACCACCTGCACAGGACATGCAGCAGCTATGTCACACAGCTGAGCCAGGGACCTCTCTGGTTGGCTCAGAGCACGGAGACCCATCATCTTAGATGGGGGCACCAAAAACGCAACCAAAGCTCTCATTCTGCCTCAAGCGTCAACCTGAAAAGCTATGGAAGTGAACTCTTCCACACGCCAGCTGCAACAAGCGAGGCTGCCTTGCTTCGAGTTTAAGGTGGCCTTCATGACAAAGCCAGAGGCAGCCTCCCTTCCTGTCTGTGGCACTCTCACCTGTTTGATGGCGGTGACAGTGATGACAAAGAACAGCGGGAGTCCACTTGTCACGGGACTGGTGGGTGTATCGATGATCAGCTGCAATGAACACAGCCAGGGAATCATTCTCAAACAGCTGCAGCAATCACAGACAGCTGATGACCCCGCTCCACACCAATCCCACCACCACCTCCACTTCCATCACCACCTCCACCTCCACCTCGACCACCACCTCCACCTCCACCATCGCCACCTCCACACCACCCCTACAAGTATCTCCACTACTGCTTCCACCACCGGAAATACAATCTCCATCTCCACCACCACCTCCACCTCCACCTCCACCTCCACCTCCACCACCACCACCTCCACCCCCACCCCCACCTCCACCTCCACCCCCACCCCCACCACCACCTCCACCTCCACCTCCACCTCCACCACCACCTCCACCTCCACCTCCACCATCCCACCTCCACACCACCCCTACAAGTATCTCCACTACTGCTTCCACCACCGGAATTACTATCTCCATCACCACCACCAGCATCTCCATTACTACCTCCACCACTAGAATCACTAACTCTTCCACCACCATCACCACCTCCACCTCCACACTACCGCCACCAGCATCTCTACTACCACCTCCACCATTAGAACCACTATCTCCTCCACCACCCCCACCACCTCCACCTCCACA